TTTTTTTTTTTTTTTTGAGGCCGTCGGTGGAATTGTTTAAAATGAGTCTTGAGTGGTTCACTGGTTGAATTTTTCTTAGAGGACAGGCCCCTGTCCGACCCTGAGTGTCACCTGTCGTCCAGGTGGCTGGTCGTCAGCCTGCTCACCCGCTTGTAAAACCGCAGGTGTCAGACTCGAGGCCGCCCTGACGGGGCCGCACACGCCCTGTGCCGTCTCCCCGCGTGGACTGCAAATGCTGGTCCAGTTCAGGGACTGGCCGAGGGTGCCCAGGGCCCTGGTTTTATCATTTAGATGCACTTCCCAAGTCCCTCGTGTGCAGTCTCACGGAGCTCTGTCCCCGGGAGCCGAACAGACCGTGGTTGAGACGACTCCGGATGTCACACGGGCGTCGCGAGCCCTCCTGCCTGCGATTTGCTTCTTGATAGAAATTTCCCTTCCATGTTTAAAGGAGACGAGACAAAGAGCCCTGAACAGAAGTGTGCTGTCCCGGTTTCTGACTCTCCCCTGGGCTCAAGCACATGACACAGGGAGGTCCTTGCCCCTCCTGGGGTCATCTGATACCTGTGTGCCCGGTGAAGTGACCGAATTATCAGCCCGGCACTTCTTACTGTCCCACGAGCTGTCACCCGGAGGTCACATTTCCCGAGTGAAGTCATCGGCCCAAGGAGGGTCTGAGGCTATTCCCAGAGCGGGGCGTCTGCCTCGGCCCTGGGACGGGGACCTTTTGGGTGACAGGCGGGGTTACTTTGTCTGTACCCAGCACGTCTGGTCTACACCAAGGGCTTCTCTGCCTAACACTCCTTCAGAACAATGCTTCTTAAATGCAGAAAATAAAACACAGGGATTCAAAGAAAACAAATCAGACCGAAATACAGTTATTGCAAAATTGTCTGCACAGTTCGCAAACTATTTTAAAATCAAGTGTGTGCTACAGTCCAATGCGACCGTTAGAGTGAGGACAGGACGCCGGTCAGACCCCGGAATCATCCTGCGGTGCTGTGGGGTTGCTGCTGGAACCCTGCCCCACCCGCTCTTTTTTGCCCCAATTTTTATAAAGAAAAATTTCAAACCTACAGAAAAGTCGAGACTGATAGAGTGGACACCGAATGCTCTCCCCGAGATGTAACAAGCGGTAGCATTTTCCCACCCATTTTCCCTCCGAAGCACAATGTTTTTTGCTATTTTTGCTGAGTCATTTGACAGCCGGTGGTAGATACCAGGACATTTCACCCCATAAACATTTTCACACGGATTTCTTAATGGTAACCTATTAATATGCGTATCCCCAGTATAACCGCACACACGCTGTTATCACAACTAAGAAAGTCAAGTCATCTGCAGAATTGCCCAATATCCTGTGTATGTCCCAGGTTCCCCTGATGGCCCAGTGGTGTCTTTGCCACTGTTTTAGTTTGTCTTTGAAATCAGGATGTACCCAGGTCAACACATTTCATCCGGTTGTCTCTTTTACCTAGATTTTCCCCCCATGATATTGCCTTTTCGTAGAATTCAGGCCAGTTCTTATAGACTATCCCGCATTCTGGATTCGTTGGGTTAGGATATAATTTAACTTGGTCTCTGCTCTGAATTTCCTGGGCACCGGGCCCTTCTCGGACCTAGGCTGAGAGTTTTGTCGAGCTCTCCTCGTGGGAGGCGAGTAGCTCAGTGCGAACAGTCCGTGAGTCCTGGGGTTCACGCCGTGAGAGCGGCAGGTGCTCTGGGCTGATTCAGAAGCATCCAGCTCTAACCAGCGCCCGTCCCCTGTCCCCTCACAGAACATGTGCACCATCGAGGTGGAGCTCGAGAGTCTGCTGGGCGAGTTCTGCATCAAGATGAAAGGTATTCTCGTGGCCTTGCTGCCTTTATGGTCCTTACGAAGACACCTTCAGCCCTCCCACCTCTGATCCCTAAAACTGAGTCCCAGAGCCCTTGGTTCCCAGCACGTCCCGCCCCAGCCAATGACAGCAGGGACGTCCTAAGACAGCTGCGTGGACACGACACACTGTTGCTCTGAGGGTGACACCTGGCACCTGGAGGTGGGTGGGAGCAAAGGGTCCCCCACCCACCGGGTCCGGAGCTGCAGGGCTGCTGGTCAGTGAGAGACTGATGTTGGGGCCAGACCTCTGTCCACTGGGGACCTGGCCACCCCCCTCAGCAGCACCCTGGTGGCCACGGGTCACTGACAGGGACTGAGACCTTTCTGGGCTCCTGCGTGTCCACCTGTCTCTGATGTTGTCTCTTTCCTGCCCGATAGGGGTCCTTAGCCTCTCCCAGGGGGCTCCGGGGCCTGGAGCAGATTCTTTGTTTTTAATGTAGATTTATCTGCTCACACGTCCCTAATCTAACACAAAACCCCCAAAGTGGGTCTGTGAGGGCTTCTGAGGTGACACCCCGCGGGAATGTCCTTTCCCCGGAGACGCCCTCTCGTGCTCCTGGAGATCTCCCAACATTGCCTTTAGCTACCTTCTTATCTGTCACTCATTCTGGTGAAAAGGAGCCACCCCACGGACATAAACCGAGGGTGTTTCATAACATGGTCGGACCGCGGCCACTTCCTCCCGCCACACCCACCCACACTTCCCTTTTTGCCCCACCCCCAACAGTAGACACCCCGTTTGTTGAGGGGCGAGGGGTGGGGAGGTGCTCAGACAAAGACGACTGATGGAGCGCTGCGTCCGCAGGGCCCGCCCTTGGCCCTGAGTCCCCACAACCTCCTGAGGGAACTGGGTGAGGCGCCCGGCCCTCTAATTGGGTGGAAAAGCAGCCTCAGGCCCAGGGCCCTGGAGGCCTGGGGTGGGGAGGGTGCCCTGCAAGGAGGAAGGCTCCCCAGGTGACCTTGGGTTAGAACGGGAGGGGCTGGCGGCTGGGAGGTGAGCAGGTCGCCAGGGAGGGCGGAGCACGCTCCGAAGGGACAGGGAGCCCGGCAGCGACACCCGTGTCAAAGGACCCTGGTGGGTGGGAGCCCGGACTGGCTGGTGGGCTGCTGCCACCTGCTGGCTGGTCTCGGCATCGGCGGGGCCTTCGGGAGGCCTCCCGGCCCCACCTCCTCCATGCCCTTGACCCTGGCGATGCCCCTTAAGGGGGCTCTTCATAGAAGGTAAAACAGGCTGCGTGGCACCGTCCCCCCCGTCTTTACGCGGCAGGCTGGGGGGCGGGGGGTATGTGGTTGTAACGAGGGAAATGCATCCTGCGCCTCACCCCCGACCTCCCGCCTGCAGGTCTGGCCGGCTTCGCGCGGCTCTGTCCTGGAGACCAGTACGAAGTAAGTGTCGCATCGGGCCGGGTGTCGGAACGCAGGGCTCGGGGCACAGGGGCCAGTCGTCATTATTAAGCGTCTTAAGTTATCTTTTTTATTTTTACACTTGTTATTTGGGGGGGAATGAAGCCAAGGAGAAAGTTTGGAGAGTGACACAAGCCCTCCCGTGTAACTTGCATCTAGACTCTCGGATGTTCAACAGGACGCCTCAGAGCCTGTATCATTACCGTTACTATCGTTACGACTTTGCCGAGCTTTCGGGGGGGATGTGCAGACACCCTGATCCTTCGCTCCTCACTTTTTCTAAAAATGTGTCAACAAAAGAACTTCCAAACAGATAGGAAAGTCCTGTAAGCGCCTGCGTGAGCCACATTTTCGAGGACTTGCCCAGAAGCAAGATCTCAGTGGGTTGAGAAAATGCTCCAGAGAGTGGCGGCTCCGCAGTTTATTTTATTAGTCAAGGGAGCCGTAAGGAGGCTGCGGGAAATCCAGGGGCGGTGGGTGAAGGCAGGAGGCGGCGGAGCAGCGAAACCCTAGGACTGGAAACAAAGCAAAACGAGAGACCCTCCTCTTCCGTTGGCAGCGACAGGAAGGCTGGCATTTGGCATTTACAGCACATGGAGAGGGCAGGCGGGCAGCGAGGTCACAGAGAGGGAGGGCCCTGTGGTCTCGGCCCCGGTGCCTGGCGTTGTGCCCTGAGACGGTCTAGGAAAGAAAATCACTGACATCTCAGGGCCTCGTCTTCCCAGGTGGGCGAGGACGGTGGGCGGGCTCCCTCGGGGAGAGGCTGGTCTTTGCTGAGGAGGCTGCGGGCTGGGAGAGACTGGCCGCCACCGGCCCAGGTGGGTACCCACGACCAGGTCACCCGGGCACTGAGCCGGTCGCGTTTTCAAGTGGAAGGACGTGCGCATTAGACAGTCTCCACACCAGCAGGTTAATGCTGGCGCCTTAGCTGATGCCGTTGGACATACGTTCTAGCTGCATTTTTTGCCTGGTGTCCCAGTGTCATGCTTTTCCTGGCCCCAAATCCAAGCCAGGACCGTGACTGCTCGTAGGTGTCATGATTAAAAAATAATACCACCTCCATCTTTCTTTATAAAAGTACATTCCACGTCAAGGTATATAAATGCTGAATCGCTGTTGTATACCTGAAACTAATGTAATAGTGTATGTCCCCTGTAATTAAAAATACATTTTAATTATATACTTATATAAATATTCCCTCCATAAAGTAAAAAGCTTGTTATCCTTTGAAGGGGAACTTGAAGAATTTTGTATCTATCTCCTCCAAAACCCTCTGTAATCACGCTTCTTGGGGGAGCACCCCCAAAACAGTCCAACTGTCCAACGGAGGGGAGACTGCACCCCTCCCCTTGCCCATCTCCGTCTACTCCCCGCAGGACGGACAGACGTCTTATTTCTCGCTCTGGCTGCTAAGTGGACAGCAGAGGGCCTCCCGTCCCTGTAAAGGGGCCGGGAGTGTGGGGGGCTAGTCCCGCGGCTGTTCTGTTGAACTGGCCGAGGAAGAACCATGAGAACCATGAGCCCCCCGACAGACGGGTGTGGCCTTCACTGCAGAGAGGCCCCGCCCTGGGCGCCGGGACGAGAGCTCGCCCCCCCCCAGTCCCCCCACCCGC